ATTGACCCCAGGTCCTTGCTCATGGTAGGCAAATGCTCCACCACTGAGCTACCCCCCGGCCTGGAAATAGACTTTTGACTTTATTGTTTGAGGATATAATGTGTCAAGTCATATATGTTCGATGCATTGGTGAGGGGCTTGTGACAGACTTTTCTGATTCAAAATCTACAAACAAGCACCCCTGCCAGGTGATTTATCTACCCATTAGAAACCAAGAGTTTCTTTCTGCCTATGTGACCTTAGTCAGTTTACTTAACCTCTCAGAGCCTTCATGTCCTCATTTATAATGAGAACTAATATTAATGTGTGACATTCCTTAATATTATGCCATACCCCTAATAGTTGTTCTGTAAATAGTGGCAATGTGGATGCTCCTGCTAATGATGATTTTAGCATGCCGAAATGCGACTTCTACCCTAAGAAGTAAGCAATCCTGTTTCAATCAAGATGATGGTTTCCCCCTTAGCCACACACACATCAGTAATTTCCGCCCTCCTTCCTCAATGAATTAACATCACACTAAGGGAGGGAGGATTAAGCTTCAGATGACCACCACACACATATAATTCAAGAATACTGGCAAGACCTAAGAACACGGACGCTTGCTGGCATAAAGGCTGAACTCAGTTGCTGGTGACTTCACAATTGTTTCTGCCTCCCCGCACGCATCTGTCCCCTGACTCTGTCCCCTCAGCTAGATCTGCAAGGCTGACTCTGGGATTCTCTTATGAAAATGCCTGATGGGCTGGAGGTTAGCTGGGGAAAAAATGACTAATTCAAAGCAGCCTGCTGAGTAAACGCTGCAAGAGAAATAAAAGTAAAAGCTGACTCCTGTCTCTGGGGACTCTAGAAATGATCCTGACTTATCATGTCACTGAGCAGAGTTGGGGAAGCCAAAACTCGGAATCTGCTGGCAAGGAAAAGAAGGAAGGAAAAAAAAAAAAATAGGGAGGGCATAGGGAGGGGCAGACTGGAGGGGGAGGGAATAAAAAGAGGGAGGGGAAACAGCCCTTAGAAGCAGAGGTAGCTTGAAAGAAGAGTTCCAGGCTTCAAGACAAAAGCAACAGCAAAGTATGTTTCTGTCTTTTTCCCAGAAGAGATCCAGACCTGTCGTTTGATTGACAGCCCTGCCTTAACAGCCTGTTTCCCAGAAGTTGTACAAAGGCGCGCTCACAGTTGCAAAGAATCTGATTCTTTCCTTCTAAGTCGAGTGATTTCCCTGGTAATGGATTGTGTCTCTCTGAGGTAGGTGTGAATAGTTTTGGGGACAGAGTTTCATTTTCGGGTTAGCGCAGTCTCTGCTGTGGGAAGACTTCTTTTTTTGTTCTTTATTTTCAGAGTGTCAAATATCCTTTAACTGACCTCGCCAGATCTTAGGGTATCGTTGAAGAGCAGTGATTAATTTGGTGATTAAAATTTACGTGGAAGTAGGCAGCCTTAATAATTCGTTTCATTGCTTAGGAATTGATATTTTGACCACCTAGGGCTACAAGGAACCAGTGAGGTTTTATTTGGGCTTGCATTTTATTTTCAAATGATGCTTAATATATTTAAAGGATGAATCTCATCTCAAGTTTCTTCCCGTAAATTCTTTTAGTAACTACAATTGTTCAGGCCCTGGAGATCCAAGACAGCGAATTCCCTTAGCATGCCCAAGCAGCAGATGAGGTTTCTCAGTGATTCCTCATAGAAGCATTTCCATCAAATGCTTTTGAACAAGGGTCTCAAGTTTTGTCCTGGAATTTCCAGTTCAAAAAAAAATTTAGAATGGGGCAAGTTTTATACCCAAAGGCTTGGAGAAAGGAACAACAACAAAAAAAAAGAATTTGTCAAATTTTGCTGACTACCTGGCATGCTTATTTGTTTAAGAAGGTCTTCATATACATAATATCAAAATTCCTGATTGAGGTTAGTAGGAAGTTGCTCTGACAGTTGATTTTGATCTATTAATACGAGAAAACCCAAAATCATACTCCATGAATTTGCTGAGTTATTTCTTGCTTCTTTTTTTTTTTCATTTCAAATGGAACGAGAGTATTGCCACATTTCTGAACTCAAATCCTTGCCACGTTGTCGCCAAACTTTTTGCTGAACTGCCCATCTGCAGTGGGGTGGAGTGTCCCAGGCACATGCTGTACTGTGTTTAACAAGAACGCAGTAAAGACTCACTGGCAGTCAGTAGTTAGGGAAGAGCATCATCTGTACGCTGGCCACTTGTCTTGACACTGATTTCACGAGCAGTGAATGGGTGACAGTTTGGAAAGAATGCCTGTTACACCCTGCAAAATTGGCAGTGCTTAAGTTGCTCTGAGCTGTGGAACTAACGGTTTATAATGTTGTCTCCTCTTGAATGAGGATGTCTGTGAATTAGGATCCAGGCTCCTCTGTGTTTAGAGAAAAGAAAAGCAATCGACAAAAGAGGAAAAGCTTATTAAAAAAAGAAAACATTTGTGGACCACCAGGGAATATTAAACACTGTAAAGTGCTTCCTGCTTTTTTAAAAAATCTTCCCTTTTATGTTTATCTTGCTTTTTTTGCTCAACGCAAAGACAACACAATCAATCAGGAGAAAAAAAAAATAGTTGATTTTCACACGCATCGGAGACTCCTGCAGAGGTGGTGCGTTTGTTCTTTTTCAGTTCTTCTTGCTTAGCTGACATCTCCTGTTTCCATCTCCACAGTTTCCACCCTGCTGAGACCAGATACAGCCTCTGAACCCCGCTAGAACAGCAGCAAGGGTAAACATGAATGAAGAGCCTGTGAAGGAGAGCCTGGGAGCCCCCAAGTCTCCCATGCCAGTGACATCGGAGAAAAGCTCTAAGAGCGAGGTGGTGATCAACACGACCCCACTGGTCACTGAGGTCCAGCTGCTGGCCGCCACCGGGGGCGCGGAGCTCTCCTGCTATCGCTGCATCATTCCCTTCGCCCTGGTGGTCTTCATCGCCGGGGTCGTGGTCACCGGCGTGGCTTACAGCTTCAATTCCCACGGCTCCATCATCTCCATCTTTGGCCTGGTCCTCCTGTCATCTGGACTTTGTTTATTAGCCTCCAGCGCCTTGTGTTGGAAGGTGAGACAGAGAAGCAAGAAAGCAAAGAGGCGCGAGAGCCAGACGGCGCTCGTGGCCAATCAGAGAAGCTTGTTTGCTTGAGACTGAATGAGACCAAAGGATGGCTCTGTGGCCCCAAAGCCCCCGCTCTAACTTGATTCATCCAGAACCAGTGATGGAAGGGGCGTGGCTTGGGAGCAGACTAGGAAAAAAAAAACAACAACAACAACAGGGAGTGGGGATTGAAGGTGGGGGGAAGGGGATTCCTCCTTTGTGAGGAGTCACCTGTCTTCTTCAATGTCTTCTTAGTGACTCTCTTCTTTAATGACAACCTTAATCTTAAGGGCTATTTCTAAGACCGAAGAATCCCCCCCCACTCACCCCGCCCAACACACACCTGTGACAAACCTTTCTGGGGTGGTGGGAGATGGCACAGCATTAGGTAACATTTGGTTCACCTTGGAAAGCAGCCAAGAAGTGATGAGAAAATAACGTGGTCCTAGCACACCAGAGATCTGCCTCCAAAATACCCTGCACTCCAGAAGTCTGTATTAGAAACAGGTTCTGCTGAAGGTCTGCTGCATTACCTTGGACTTCACATATACATCTATGAAATTCTGTCACTTTTTTTTTTTTCCCCAGGAAGTTGATTCTCTGACATCTGTGTTTATCTTTCATTTTCAGTAACTCATCACTGGTGGTACTTTATCATGAAGAATAAACTAATATTTTTTATATATATATATATTAACATTGGACAATTTAAGGTGATTTTAATGTTGTCTCAGAAGTGAACATGAAAGGTATAGCTAATAGATGACATGGGGGGGGTTAAGTTAATATTAAAATAATCCAATATAGCACTTTTAATGATTTTTATATGAAAGTTTAATGTATATTTCATTCAAAATAATAAATACTCATTGCTGCTGAAACTTCTTAAATGATGATTTGTTTTAGTTATTTTTACTGTAGTCCCAAATTGTCCATATTTTCCTTTGTCTCATTTGCAAAGTATCAATTAATTGTGTTTCTCTCAAAAGGACAAGTTGTTTTTTTCTTTACTGGAAGATTTATTTTTATTATTTTCATTACTTTTGAAGACCAGTGTTAGTTATGTTGACTACATTCTAAAGGATTTCTATGCCATTTTAATTAGGAAATCAATGCCTGGGGTCAGAAATTTTATAATGTTCTGTTAAATGTGTCACATTTTTGTCAAATTAGTCACTAACTGTTGCTTTAACATATTTTTAAACAAGTTTTTAAGCACAGACTATAAGACAGGCATTCTGTAGATTTTTCAGGCTGCTTATGTACTTAGTTCCACTATTAGGCAAATAAGGTTACTGCTAAGACTCTTCTGTGGACACTGAGCTACTCCTTAACTCTAGCCAGAAATATTCCTCTTTTATGTCATCAAACTAGAGCAGAAAGATAGTTGGTCATAAAAGCCTTAAAATTCTAAGAATAAAACAATAAAGCCTAGTAGCAGGGAACATTTCTTGAAAGGTAGTCTACTGAAGAATTTGATTAAATATGGCAGGATCCCTCTGGCCCCCACTACTCCTGGGTACTCAGACCATTTTGATAACTGGAAACACCTTAATGATTTTGGAGGTCAGACGGTAACTGTGAGGATCAGCGCTGCTCCCAACCTACTGCAAGCCAGTGAAACTGCTCAGTGCAGCTCCAAGGGGGCTGTGTTTTGACCACACCTTTTCTGCTCAAAGATAGTCAGAGGCTCTTCATGGATTTATGAGGAAAACTCTTCAGCAAGGCTGAAGTTCTCCAATCTGCTCCAAACAGATGTATTAGCTTCTGTTCTCATTCTAACTCCCAAAGCTCCTAGGACTTAGCTTGGCTAGACTATTCCCCGTACTGCCTCAGGCTCTGGGTTTCTTGCCTCTCTGTCTTTCCTGTCTCCACACTTCTCTTTTCTTTCCTTTATGATGATATGTAATCTTCTCCTCCTTCTGTTTATCCTTATTTATGAGATATACCCCTATAGTTGTATCCAGTTATAATGGTTCATTTCTATTTCCATCAGCATCAAGCTCACAGGCACCTCTTCCCAGAAGCCCTCCCTTTTATCTGAAAGTAGCTGCTTTTTCACTATTGTTCATTCACCCTTAGGGTACCTTTCAGTTTCTAGCATTTTGGTGATATAAATATTTTATCTCTCTCCCAAAGTTCCCAAGAAGTGTGTGATGATATAACCTTTTTTTTTTTTAAAGTTCAGCATGATACCTAATATAATGTCTTGCATGCAAAAAGGAACTAACTCAAGGAGAACATAATTGAGATGCTAGGTGAATCAAGAATGAAAAATGAGAAAGTGGTTCATGCAGGTTTATGTACCATTCTTATGTCTTGACAGAAAATACTTGGTTCTTAACTTTCTGCTCTGTAGGTCACCCCACTCCACCCTGCTTCTCCTGTAAGCACCAGGTCTAAGTGAGTATGTACTATCTTACTTCTTCAGCTAGACCTCCTACCTTTCCAAATGCTTGAAAAACAAACTCATGAATCATTTCCGGCCACCAGGGGGCCTCAGGCTGCTACCATGTCCCCAATGAAATACTTTGAAAGATTTATATTGTAATGACTAAAACGGGATCATATCCGGGGATAGCGATATCTGTCCTGGCTGTGAGGAGCTGGAGGAGAGCCTCCATTTGACCCACCCCTCCACTTCTCCAAGCCACTTTACAGTGAGTTCTACTATGGGAAGGACTTGCCCTGTTTGGGGAACCTCCAGTCACATTAAAAGGTACAAACCTGTGCAAAGCTCTAAGGCACAGAAAGAGTCCTATACATTGTGAATTTCAACTCCCATGAGAGAAATAAACTAGACTTGACTTATAATCACAATAATCAAAATTATCTCATAACACATCTTCTTTGGGCAAGGTCTATCTTTACAAATGGTTCTATTATATACAGATAAGCACATGTTCAGTGTATGCATAAGCTTTATGCATTCCTAAATGTATTTAAAAAGTCATCTGACTCCACCTTGGATCAACAATAACCAGTGTGTCACTTGGAAGGATTTCCCCTTAAGCCCCACACATATAGTGCACAGGAACAGCTTTTACCTTTATCCTATGCAATGGATTTCTGGTCCAGGTGAGAACCACAGCTGCTTAGAGGTGCTGCTCCTGCCACCACTTCTTAAAGGTGTTTGCAGGGGTCATGTGAATACAGCAGATAGCTGAGACCAGAAGATAAATCCAGCAGGTGAGAGGCCAGATCACAAATCCTCAAACCTATCTCTTTCTCCTGTACCACCCAAGAGAGAGAGAGAGAGAGAGAGAGAGAGGGAGGGAGGGAGGGAGGAAAAAGGACAAAGAGGAGGAGAAAAAGAAGATGGATAGATAGATAAATAGATAATAGATAGATAGACAGTTATCCTGATCTCCTGGTAAGTATTATTGCTTTAAATTTGGAAGATTTGGTTATGAATGCCAATTCTCCTATTAAATTAGCCAAGTGATCTTGAGAAGTTAAGCCTCATCTTTAAAATAAGGTTTGCTATAAAGAAATGATTATTTTTCAAACTATAAAGTACTCTGAAGTTACAAAATTGCTAGGTATAATAATATCTAATGGTAACTTCATCTTCTTTCTCTACTTACTGTTCCAGTATGTAGGAAGCATCAAACAGTCACTGTTTGATTAAACAGCTTTAATCGGTCACTTTAACTTTGACATAGTCCACAGACATTTGAGGCCCAAAATAATCTAGGGAGAGCCCCTGTTCTGAAGATGAATAGTAACTTACATTTCTTAATCTTGTTCTAATTTCCAGTGTTTTCGCATGCACTTGAGTTGTCAAAAGGTGTATTTAAATGTGGAAATTCAACAGGGTACCACTCAACAGAAAAGAGAGATTAAGAGAGAGACAAATCCCCCTGCCTTGCCCACCCCCCACCTGTCATTCAAGCTGGTCCTTGATGCTCTACAGAAAGGAAGACCATGGTAAAACTCCACAGAGAGGCAAAGTAGTAAATTCTTGATTCTTGGCTTTTTTGAGCTTACCAGGGCCTGTATCCCAGTGATATAAGGCCTATCTAAGGAACTTTCATGAGTAATTTGATTACTTTTGACTTTCACATAATTCACTAACTATAGTACTTGATCTTGTGTATAAAAAGGCTCAACTGCACCTAATATTAGTTAATCTACCCACACTACCCGGAGGCCAGGAGAGTAAGTGCCCACTTTATATTGAATTTGAGTTCACTACCATTCGGGGACGTTAGGTGATTTGTTCAACCAAGATCTCATTCCAAATGAGGCCTGGCACTGGGCCTAAGAAATTGACCTTATATTAAGAGTCAGACCCGCCCCTGAGTCCTTTGGGGCTGCTATAACAAAAATACCGTATCCTGGGTGGCTTACAAAGAACAAGAAATTTATTTCTCCAATTGCTAGAGGCTGGGATTTCTGAGGTCAAGACTGCTTTCTTATTCATAGAGCCTGCTCCCTGCACCCTCCCCAGGTGAAGGGCAAAGGAGTTCCTTTGAGGTCTCTAATCCCAATTAGGAGGTGGCCAAAACCCATCCCAAAGGCCCTACCTCCACATAACACCAAGCTTGGGATTGGGTTTCAACATGTGAATTGCAGGGGTGTAGGGGCGGGGAGCACACACCTCAATATACAACACCCAGAGTGTGCTTAGCCACGAAGCTGTTCTCAGAAGTTCTCTTTAGGAGAGAGAGAAAATAAAGCTGTTCTTATACCTACTTTCAAAAACCTCTTATGAAAGTATTAATATACATAGAGAAAGGCGCACAGCTTAATGAATTTCCACAAACAAACAAGTGGAACTAATACTCGAAGAAACAAATATTGCCAGCACCCAAAACCTCCCTTCACATCTGCTTCTGGGCACTTTTTCCCACTGTTCTGGCCTCTAACACTTGGAGTCTTGGAGTAGTGTTGCTTTTTTTTTTTTTTTTAACTTTGCGTAAATGGAATCACATAGTGTACACTCTTGGTGCCTGACCTCTTCTCTGCAATCTTATATTTATGAGATACACCCCTATGGTTGTAACCAGTTATAATGGTTCATTTCTATTGCTGCGTGGGACTCCTTTGTACAAGTACACCATAGTTTTCCTTCGTCCTTTCTGCTATTGATAGGCATTCAGTAGTTAGGTTTCTAGTCTCTAACTCCCCAAAATAGTACTTTTGGTAACTGGCATCTGGCATAGCCCCAGTGATCCCTGACTTTTGGGTATTTGCATCCTTGCGTGGTCCCCTCCCATGCAGCCCCAGAGTTCGTCTGTGTAGAATAGAATATGACAAAAGTGATGAGATGTCACTTCCGAAATTAGGTTGTGAAAGAAAAGGAGGCTTTCCTCTAGCTTTCCCTCTCTTTCTTTCTTTCTTTCTTTCTTTTTTTTTACCATTTTTTAAAGATTTTTATTGTTTTTATAAATTTTTATTATATATGATCATACATAATGGTGGGACTTGATACATATTGGTACACTCACAAGACCTAATTTGGTCAGTTTCATTCTCCAACATTACCCCTTCCCCTCTTGAAGTCTATTGGACTCCCTTCTATTTTTATTTGTTCATTTTGATAAATTTTAACAAATGCAAATACTTTGTAATACAGGCTGTTTTCTGAGATATGAAACATTTCTATTACCCCCCCAAAAAATGTGCCTTCCCAGTCAATTCCCACCTCACCTCATTTCTAG